TAATGGGACACACACCTTCCAAAAAGTTCAACTTGTGTCTCGTCAGTCCACAGAGTATTTTCCCAAAAGTCTTGGGGATCATCAAGATGTTTTCTGGCAAACTGAGACAAGCCTTTATGTTCATTTTGCTCAGCAGCGGTTTCCGTCTTGGAACACTGCCATGCAGACCATTTTTGCCCAGTCTCTTTCTTATGGTGGAGTCATGAACACTGACCTTAACTGAGGCAAGTGAGGCCTGCAGTTCTTTGGATGTTGTTGTGGGGTCTTTTGTGACCTCTTGGATGAGTCGTCGCTGTGCTCTTGGGGTAATTTTGGTCGGCCGGCCACTCCTGGGAAGGTTCTCCACTGTTCCATGTTTTTGCCATTTGTGAATAATGGCTCTCACTGTGGTTCGCTGGAGTCCCAAAGCTTTAGAAATGGCTTTATAACTTTTTCCAGACTGATAGATCTCAATTACTTTCTTTCTCATTTATTTCTGAATTTCTTTGGATCTCGGCAAGATGTCTAGCTTTTGAGGATCTTTTGATCTACTTTACTTTGTCAGGCAGGTCCTATTTAAGAGAGTTCTTGATTGCGAACAGGGGTGGCAGTAATCAGGCCTGGGTGTGGCTAGAGAAATTGAACTCGGGTGTGATAAACCACAGTTTTAACAGGGGGGCAAACACTTTTTCACACAGGGCCATGTAGCTTTTGATTTTATTTTCACTTAATAATAAAAACCTTAATTTAAAAACTGCATGTTGTGTTTACTTGTGTTATCTTTGACTAATATTTAAATTTGTTTGATGATCTGAAACATTAAAGTGTGACAACCAGGCAAAAAAATAAGAAATCAGGAAGGGGGCCAACACTTTTTCACACCACTGTATATGCATATACTGCATGTACATATGCAATATAAATACTTAACGTAAATTTAATCTGTACATACCACTGCTTGTGAGGATGTAGGGCTGGGTGGGATGAACAGCGATGCAGCGAATGTAATCTGAATGGGCCTCAAACATATGTACTCTCTCTAGTGTATTATAGTTGAAAACCCGAATTTGCATGTCATCCTACAAAAAAGGGAGGAAACTGATCAAAAGTTCCATATTTATCTATTATACATGTGACAGTATTGATAACTATTATATAACAGTGCAGTGTTTCCCATTCATTAACTAGAGTGTGGCGGCGCGCCACAGTCTAATCTGTCCCGACACAGTTTCACAATAAACCAAAGATATATTTATACTTCTCATTATAACATAAAAGTTCTTTAACTTTGTGTTTCACGCCACTGTTTTGGTTAAGTATTCGACGAACGAATTAAAACCGAAAGCGTAATATGACTTATCAAGTCTGTTTGCGCTGTTTTTTTCAAAGTGAAGCGCACACTTTGCGCACGCGATCGGCTCGTGATCCTGTTTTTTCCACGTCTCAGTTCACTGACTGACCTTTAAATTTCAAGAACAAGTCAATTCACCAGCTTTTGTCTTTTAGTTTGCACACGGTGACTGAACCCGTGTTGGAGCTTTTAATTTTGAACTATCAAAGTTAACCAGATTGATGAATTTAACTTTAAAATGTACAAAATTTTCTTCCGGGGGGGGCATGCCCCTAGACTCCCCTACAAGGATCGAGGACCACCCACCTCAGTCTCACAAAATCCTGAGGGAAACACTGCAATGCATATTATTATTATTCACATATATACTTACAGCACCAGTAATGACCCAATTTTTCCTGGCAACAAATTTGGCAGCTCTTACTGGAAGGTCACAGACTTCAAAAGTCTTAACCAGAGTCTATGAAAGAGCAATATTAGACACTATTAGACAAACATGCAACACACACTGCTGTATCCTTAATGTTAAATGTGAAGATCAGATGGTAATATATTGCAAATGCTGAAAAACACAAGGTCTGCTAGTCACCTGTGTTTCATGGTTCCACACACAGACACTGCCGTTGTACAGACTGGCCAGCATCCATGGCTCGGACGGATGAAGGTCTACGCTTTTGACACGGTCAGATCGAGCTGTGAGTTTCCGCTTGATATCCAGCCTCAGAGGCTAGAAGACAAGACAAGACAATTACAAGTTGATTAATCAGCATCTCTTTGGTTAGCAGCACCAAGTATACAGTAGTAACACCAACAGTCTATACAAAAAGCACAAATATTCGCAGTTTCAAGAACAGAAAACAGTGACATTTTGTTATTTAACCTTGACTGTTTTTCCCCCACAACATTTGCTATTTGTCACCCAATTAAAAGTCTGATAAAGTAACAGCAGCTAACCTTTACAGTACAGTTAATAAGCAATAAAATCACTACACATCAAACCTCTTCCAGCTAATTGCCATGTTACTGAACAGAATATATACAGCAGCACATTTCATAATTTCTGTTTATTTATTAATGTGTACTTAATGTTAAAGTCACATTCATATCATCAGCTGTTAGCCAGAACACAAGATATCACTTCATAACAACATATAACTGAACAGTTAATTTATAATATATGTAATGGTAAATGGCTTTAAATGAAAGTATGATCTAGAATGAGAGTGAAAATGAACAAATAATTCACAGACTGACTGAATGATAGAGTTGTCTATGTGGCCATTCTAAAGGCCTTCGAGGCTAACAGCGCGAGCTAACGTTACTCGAAGCGTATTTCTACACAAAATCTGCGAACCAGCTGTAATATTGCCCATAATATAGATCCTGACGCCACACTTACCATGTTTGTGTTTGCTGGATTTGGTCTCCTTCACCTGTAGTATTTTATATCATCCACCAAGAGTCTATTGTGTTTTTTCGCCTGCGGTTTTGTGCACGGCAGGCAAATGTGACGTGGAACTTCCTCAAAGCCAGTTCGCTTGACGTCGGAAGCGTTGACGTGACACTCGGACGGCTTCGGAGTGTTTCGGGAAATTTCGGTTAAACTCGGCTTTTGAGGGACGCTGCATGGCGTTAGGCGCTTGCGGCGAGTTTGAGCTTACCCTTTCCTGTAAAGCCAAAAATGGTACCACCTTCAGTGTATTTATGATGAATAACACGCCAAAAATACAGTGCTGAAATGTGCCTGAAAAGTCTCACCGCATTATGATCTTAAAAGGTTAATAGATAAATGTTTAAGACATATGATCAATATTAAGGCTATAGTCGTCATACAAGGAACCTGTTACAATGGCTACATCTCAGTAAGGATAGCCTTGAGTCAAAAGTACAATTACACAATTGCTCGTTTTCTACAGTGTATCTAAATGTGTATCTTCTACCATCTAATTATTATAATTATATAAATTATGTAAATTATAATTATAAAATAGTAGTTAGATCATTTTTATAGCCTAATGAAATCAATGAATTAACAAATATAGTTTGCTTAAGATATGTGTCTCTTCATGTTTGACCATTATAGTATTGATTGGATCTTTAATAGTCCTCCAATGTATGTAAAATGTTTTTCAGCTCATTATGGGGAAATTAATTACGTTTTAAAATCATGCATATCATCAGTTAATATGTATTTGTATAAAAAAATGTTTGTGTGGTTTTATGATTGTGTGAGCAAGGGAGAGAGAAAACGACAAATAAAAAATGTAACTAAGTTACATTCACAAGAAATTATGAGCCATAACATCTCATTGTCTTTATTTAGACAGGTTAATACACAGCTTGATTTTGATAGACTTGATAGTAGAACAGCATGAACTGAATCACATGACAAATCAGTCTTTTCTTTTGTACACTTGCTGGTACACAGCGTCCTCACATGTCAGCTCCTGAAATTGAAATGATCATGAGGTCAAAACATATCCATTATGAGTACAAAGCAAAGCAGGAATTGTGCGGGAATATTCCCTATTCATGTGTGAAAAAAAATGTAATTAGCTGAAATACTTTTATCATTAAACACCTTAATTAGAAATTTCATAAAACCTTAAATCCATAAAAATATTTTTAAGCAATAATGCTGATTCTAACATTAATCGGGTTATTTTTATCCAATGACTGAATGCTCACCAGATAAAGTTTGTCATCTTCTATCCAGTGTTTCCATCCACGGTTGGCTTTCTCACCGTTCTGGATGGCCACCAATTTGTCTCCTTCCCAGGTCACCAGAGTCTGTGTATGTAAAAAAACATATATATATATATATATATATATATACACACACCTCAATAACTGGACTGTTATTACACAAATTTTATGATTTATTTTTATATGTTTACTATTTATTTAATAAACAGATTTTTTTTGATCATTATACAGTATATCATCATATAAAAATACATTTTCATTGAGGAGAGCTATTAGCTGTATTGTACTCTATCATTGACAGGGAGCATTGTTTATATAAAATAAAGCTGTATTCAGATGGAAACTAAAAAGAAAAAAGAAGACCTTCAAAGCATTTTTGTTCCTCTGGGCAAATGTTGTGCACTATTTGTTCTACTGTGGTTTCATCACTGAATAAACTTACTGAGATCATGGCCAACAGGCCAACACTGGGGTAACTACAGGCTAAATAACATTGTCATTAGAAGAGGATTGCAGCTATTAAATATATGTATAGTTCACCTTTAGCATCCTGTTGTCAAATCCCTTAGTAAATTCTTCCTTCTCAACTCCAACAGCGAAGCGAAGCTCATAGCTCTTGAAGGCACTCTGTGTCTTAATCACAAAGTTGTCCCCATCCTGGATAAAGGTCTTTATTGGAGTAAGGTGGACCGCAATCTTGCGGATGGCTACTTCAGTCTGTGTGCACTGAATTTATTTAATACACGAGTTTCACAATTTGAGTTGAATTACTGAAATAAATGCACGACATCACGACATTCTAATTTATTGAGATGCACCTGTATGTATGTACATATATAATTTTATATATATATATATATATATATATATATATATATAAACTAATTTTACAATTTCTTTTTATATGTTTACTATTTATTTAATAAATCGTTTTTTTTAATCATTATATAGCCTACTCATCATTATATAAAAAGACACATTTTCATTGAGGAGATTTTACTCTATCACTGACAGATAGCATTGTTTATATAAAATTAATTCAGATGCCCTCAAAAAAAAAAAAAAAAAGAAGAAGAAGAAAGACCTTCAATGCATTTTGTCCCTCTGGACAAAAGTTGAAGCCTGTGCTCTATTTGTTTTACTGTAGGTTCATTACTGAACAAACTTACTGAGATCATGGCCAACAGGCCAAACAGGTTAAATGACATTATGTCATTAGAGGAGGATCACAAATATTAAATATAAATAGTTCACCTTTAGCATCCTTTTGTCAAATCCCTAAGTCAATTCTTCCTTTTCAACTCCAATAGTGAAACTCAGCTCATAGCTCTTGAAGGAGCTCTGTGTCTTAATCACAAGGTTGTTCCCATCCTGGATAAAGGTCTTTGTTGGAGTGAGGTGGACTGCAATCTTGCGGATTGCAAAGTCAATGTCTATGAGAGTAAATATTTTTAACTTGGCATGGTCATTTCCATGATATAAACTATATCATATTTTTCCAATTGTGTCAAATATTATAATAAAACTGTATAATCAGAATTAGGAAATGGCACAGATTTCTCTTGTTTCTACTCTGTTGACCTATGGTAACAGCAGGGCCGGATTTAGTGATTTGGGGGCCCCAGGCAAAATACAGGAATGGGGCCCTATACAATTTCACACATCTACAACCTTGAGGTTCCTTTCAGTGTTGCTCGCTGCTGCACGATCGTGTCCCATAGTTGTGTCCAATCTTTTAGATTTTTCATGTACATGTTATAAATAAAGGATTTCTTTAATGTTGTAAATCCCTTGTTCACATTTAAACAGGTTATAATAGTATTAGAGTAGGTTGGACACTAGGTGGTGCGTTGGGGTTGTCTATGCAATTGTCTACACAACGCAAATCTGTTTTATTTTTCCCAAATTAGCCTAAGTTTTATATTTTCCATCAGTTTCTTTAAAAAATAAAAAGACATGAATGAACATGTATAGGCAAAAAAAAAGATTTTTTTTAAATCCCCAATAGGCTACATTTTTAGTTTTCAGGATTTTTTTTTTTTTTTTACCAAACTTTGTATAAAGATAATTCTCAACTATATTGTAACAGAATGATTTGACATAGGCCTACCATTTTTCTTCATGCAAAATGTGTGTAAAATGGCCATAAACAGGGTTTCTCATTTTTGATATCAAGAATTCATTGTCACTAGTTGAAATGTTAATTCTTGATATCAACAATTTAATTGTCACTAGTGACAATGTTCATTTCTGATATCTGAAAATGTATTTCTGATATCAACAATTGGAAGGGTAATTTCTGATATCTAAAATGGCTTTCTTACTAGTAACAATCACATTCATGATATCAGAAATGAACATTGATATCAATAATAGACGTCTGTACTAGTAACCACGTGATTACTGATATCAAAAATAAAGGTTTTTACTAGTAAGAATTTTATTTCTGATATGTGAAATTGGAATTTCAACTAGTAAGAAATCAGTTCCACAGATTTTTTTTAAATCACCAATAGGCTACATTTTTAGCTTTCAGGATTTTATTTTATTTTTTTTACCAAACTTTGTATAAAGATAATTCTCAACTATATTGTAACAGAATGATTTGACATGGGCCTACCATTTTTCTTCATGCAAAATGTGTGTAAAATGGCCATAAACAGGGTTTCTCATTATGTATAGGCTAATGCATTTATAAACTAAATCTAATTTGCATATTAATGTGTTTTTGGGGCAACATGTTGTGAAAAAAGAAATGTAATAATGCAAGTAATAATTGGCAAGATTTTTATAATAATATATAATATTTCATAGGAATATTGAAATACATTTTATTTCCCTATTCATTTGTTGTGTTGTTAACATTTTAACTAGTAAAAATGTAATTGTTGATATCAAGAATTCATATCCTGAGAATGAATAAAAGTCAAAACGGCTTGCCATACTGAATGTGCTCTGTACAGGACATCCAGATAAAACTGTGGCATGTATAGTCTCAGAGAAATTCACTAAAATATAATGTCCTCATATGAGAATGCAGGGTCTCAGGAGGTTAAAACTTTCCATTCATCAAAGAATCCTGAAATAATATGTATAACAGTTTTCACAAAAATATGAATCACATTACCACAGGAACCAGATGAGTCCTCTGCACAATGTGACATTGCTGCAGCCTGGAATTGAACTGCTGGTTTCGTCTGGTCAGAGGAGAACTGGCCCCCCGACTGAGCCTGGTTTCTCCCAAGGTTTTTTCTCCATTCTGTCACCAATGGAGTTTTGGTTCCTTGCCGCTGTCGCCTCTGGCTTGCTTAGTTGGGGACACTTCATTTCCAGCGATATCGTTGACTTGATTGCAAATGATTGCAAAGATACTATTTAAACTGAACTGAGCTGGATGATGACATCACTGAATTGAATGATGAACTGTCTTTAACTGAAAAATTAGTGTTTACTATTGTCATTTTGCATTATTGACACACTATTTTCCTAATTAATGCTGTTCAGTTGCTTTGACACAATCTGTATTGTTAAAAGCGCTATATAAATAAAGGTGACTTGACTTGACTTGACATTAAATATTAAAATGTTGATAATAATAAGAAATGTTTCTTGAGCACCAGATCAGCAAAATTATTTCTGAAGGATCATGTGACACTAAAGAGTAGTGGCTGCTGAAAATTCAGCTTTGTCGTCACAAGAATAAATTACATTTGAAAATGTACATTTGTAAACAATTAGTTTTAAATTGTAGTATTCCTTTACAATATTATTACTTAGTTTGGTGTATTTTAAATCAAATAAATGCAGCCTTGATGAGCGTAAGAGACTTTCAAAACCCCCCAAATTTGGAATTTGGAATGGTATATAGTGTAGATACAACAAGACAGGTTTGGTTGGCAAAGGTGCTCTCTTGTTTGTGGAAGATGAAATAGGCCATGATCTGAAAAGTAAACATCTCAACTATAGCTCATCATGACAGTTCTGTATCTTTTATTCTAGATTTCACTGTTAACACTTCAGAGCTATTTATAGTCAGGAAGACGTCTCAAGACTGGCCTCATTACTGACAGGTCTTCACCTCCTGTTTGTGCAGTGAACATTTCTCTCTCTCTCTCTGGTGTCTGTAGGCATAAATGGAAACCTGTTTGACAGCATTGTGATTGTTGCTTTGACTGACTGTTGTGCTGCTGACAGGCTGAGTATCAAAACAATTACAAACAGGCATGTCTGTCTGTTCATATGTGTTGACTGACATGAGCTCATGAGATTCTGAATACTTTCCGTACCCACTGTATATATATATATATATATATATATATATATATATAAATGTCCACAGCAGACATTGCACTCTTTGAGATAATCCAAAGGTCCTAATTGGCTTTAGGATTACGTGTCCTGTGATTTGAGACGCCACACCGCACTTTGATGTTGAAGCATTGAAACATCAGAGCAGAGGGCAAACACAAAAAAAGAAGCAAATATGTTTCCCGTAGACATGAATGGATTCTGGAAAATGACAAGTAATGAAAACTTTGATGAATACATGGAAGCACTAGGTAGGCTGATACTTCATATTCTATTTATTTATTCATTATACTCCTGTGAAATTAATGTTCTATGCTGAACAAGGTATGTGAGATGTTGCAGAATATATTCTGTTCGAAACAGTCAAAGCAAGAGAAATACATGTCCGTATTTTGAACTCAAGAGATACGTTTTAGTACTCTTGGCAGACCTGTTTCTATTATAAAAAAAATAAAAATTGAAAATAAAAATTGGCTCATGTATACAGCTATGGTTGACATGTGTTCGTGTATTCAACTTACAGATGTGAATGTTGTCATCAGAAAAATAGCCAACTATCTCATCTTTGATAAGGAGATTGTTCAGAATGGTGAACATTTTAATATCAAGACTCTCACCGCCTTTAGGAACTACCATATGGAGTTTGATGTTGGAAAGGAGTTTGAGGAGGATTTGGTTGGTGTAGATGATAGGAAATGTATGGTAAGTGACCTCCTTATTTATAAAAGTACGATTTAAAGTGCAACTGAACAATAATGTAAGATCAGAAATGCTTTTATATGGAAAACTATTCTGAACTGCTTTTCCTAGGTTTCTGTGGTGGATGAGTCAGTAAATCGGATTAGATTGAGATTTACATTCAATGACCTGTTGTGATCTTAAATCCACGAGGGTTTCGGGTTAATGCCACAAACACCTGCTGCTCGGGAACTTTAGGTCAACTTGTACACAGTGTATAACATTATTTTCGAAACTGGTAAAGATGTTTAACAAGAAAATAATATTTTAGTCTTTCTACTTCAAAATGTTGTTTAATTCATTATGTTTCTTGCCATTTCTTTGTGTTTGTGACATTTATTGGTGTTAAATGTTGTCCAAAAATTGTTGTACATTTTTTTTAATGCTGAAGTAAGCTATTTCTTGTGAATGTGCAAGACGTCTGATGTCATTAGACGTCATTAGCTAGTACTGGTAAATAACAAGAATGTGCAGCAAACAGTAAAATTTGGGCTATAAAGTATAATAAATTTAAATAATACTAATTTTGTACAGCTAAAATAACTGGAAGTGACTGACACCAGAAGCCTTGCGCATTCAAGATAAAATTGGAGGAACCCACTCTTACATTTAAAAGCAAATTGTTTACAATTTATTTTCTATTCTCTGTGTCAGTCAATACCAGCTTCATCTTTCTCATCATGTTTTGTAGACAATGGTAAACTGGGAGGGAGACAAACTGGTTTGTGTACAGAAAGGAGAAAAGGAGGGAAGGGGCTGGACCCAGTGGGTGAAAGGGGATGAATTACATGTGGTAAGTGTGTATAAGGATGCAGTTCATATGAGGACATGCTCTGTTGTTTTATGAAAGGTCACACTTGGCTGCTTCGTGTTGTTAGTGTAGTCAACAGTGTAATTAATAAGATAACATAATTACTGCAGCAGTCACGCATTACAATAACAAACGCATCTAAAATGTGTATACGCTGAAATCCATTTAGTGACTTCATTATACAGCTGCCTGGAATGTACTTCATTTATTACTCAACATTCTGTGTTCAAATATTTGTGCATAATAGCTGCTAACCTGTATAAATGACTGTTACCTAAAAACTGTTACACTTCCAATCAAATGTTCAGCGTCGGTAAAATGTTTGAAATGTTTCTGAAAGAAGTCTCTTAAGCTTGCTAAGGCTGAATTTATTCGATCAAATGTACAGCAAAAACAGTAATGGTGTGAAAAAAACTAGTATAACTCAAATTAATTTTCCACGGCCATGTACAGTAGTAGTAAAAAAGGTGGTCAACATTTAGTTGGACCTTTTTATGTATATAAAAGTACATTTATGCTATTAAATGTATGTCACATCATGTCCTTTCCTTAAAATACATTTTGTTTTCATTTTTCAGTGTTTTTTTGTTTGTTTATTATTTATTTTGCAGGAAATGCGAGTCTGTGGAGTGATGTGTAAACAAGTGTTTAGGAAACAAGTTCTCGACTGATGTGCCTTGAACCACAAGTACTCTATTGTGAAGAAAAGGGAACATTTCTGCCTATTAATAACAGTAATTGTTGTGTTAAATAGTCATTTTTTAAGTGTAGCTATTATGTCTTTTTCATGCCTCATGTAAACAATGTATGGTGAAAACGTTGTCAAGGAAAATAAAATGTGAACACAAAAATATGCATGTTCACTTTTCCAACGTGTTTGTTCAAACGTACAGAAAACCTTTGCATTAGCTCAAAGAACACAAACATCTGCACAGGTCTTGTCAGTTTTCTTTAGTCCATCAATTGTGATTTCAAGAGCACAATTTCAGCACATATTTTCTGAGTCTGTCAGCATCATAATCTAGAAAAAAATGCAGCAGTGCAGCTGTATTGACCCTCATAATATCATCTCCCCTCCCATTCATATTCTTCCTGCTTCTGAGGAGACGAAAAGAGCTCAGTTTGCTGCGGGGGTGAAGACCCATCCAGAAAGACCATCAGATGTTAAAGTGGGTATTTTAGACAGCAGTAAAGCTCTCAGTTAGGAAGCTAATCTTAGTGACACTGGGGCACTAAAACATACCAAACCCACACACACATGAATTTAATGGATGTCTATCATATTAACTAACCAAATTAACTGCTGATTTGGAATACGCTTTTTCTGAAGAGTAATCTAGAAAGGCACATCAAGCAAATGCATAAATGCAAAGAGATAGACTGATGTCAGCAGGATGAATGGATACATAGCTCTGTCTACTGTGGATGTTTCTTTGTCTTTTCCAGTAGAGGGCGCAACTATACAACACTGGCTTAAAGGGGTCCTATTATGCTTTTTCACTTTTTACATTTTAGTCAGTGTGTAGTGTGTATGTTTGGGCATAAAAAAGATCTAGAAAGTTACAAATCTCAAAGTCCACTCCAAAGGGAGATATTTCGTTTTTAAAAAATCCCTTTTCAAGAACTACAACAAATGACTCGTTTGGACTACACCGTTTGTTTTCCGGGCTTTGTGATATCACAAAGTGGCTCATTGGAATATAATTACAAAGAATTCCCGCCTACAGAAATTTGAATGATTGGGGGGTGGGGAGGGGCGAGGTTGTGGTTAGAACGCTTGGTTGAGTGAGTGCATCAGACGAGACGACGAAGAAGAAGTGCTGCTGCAGAGTTTGGCAGAGAGAGAAGAAGAAGAGCTGCTGTGCTGTAGC